AGAAAGATTAACTTTGGGAATTCAAAGTCGATGACAGAGGATGAATTGGAAACACTTGAATTTCTCATCAACAAATATAAAATAACAATTTGACAATTCATGAAAAACAATGTTCGTTTTAGGATTTTTCTGATATGAGTTTAAATTTTTTTTTAAATTAAAATATGAGATATTATTTAAATGTTTGTTTTAATAACATTATTGATATTTTAAACAATACATATGATATGAACAAATATTACTACCAAATAACGTTATGTAAACTGTCATTATATATTAAATTACATTTATTTTTTAAACAGTTGTACCTGCAAACCATGTGCTAGATAGAAATTATTGCACAAATTTAGATTAATGCATGAGAAAAGGTTATCATTATCACTGAGCCTCTACTAGGTTGGAGAAAAAGTAGCCTATCTACAAATTGGTGAGATAGGCCATTACAAAGCAAATTGTTACAAGTGAAGATAAACTCTAAATCGTCTTGTAGTAATGCTTTATCCCATGACGAATTGTAAACGGTAAAGAGGAATCTGCGAGTGCGAAAACATTTCCCAAACTGGGATTCGAACCCGGGACCTTCTGCTGTCGATGCAATATATCAGTCCATAGATACCACTAATGGCACACATGGATAGTCTACGCAAATTGTCATTAAATGAAATTAATGTGAAGCAACACTTGACTCATGGACAGTGACAGATTGAGGTGATGCACTATGCATTATAGATAAATAAATTGATTTCAAATCTGTAAACAACTTCGGAAGCTGATGACCTTAAGAAGTGAGTAGAAACGGAATGAACAAGTACTATTCATGTAAATAAATGTCTCGTTAATGTATCCTTTAATCACTTATCGTAACCTCTCCGGCTATAAGTATTTTGAATGAAAAAAACAATTATTTTATAACCCGTGAGGTCAAGTTTGAATGTTTCCCCAATGTACCTGATTGTTGCAGAGTTGATCATTTCTCTGTCATGGGTATAAGTGTTTCCCCTATGTGCAATATTGATGTAATCTTGATATTTCATCTTGTCATGAGGCTGGAATGCTCCCTTAATGTGTCTGATTAATTCAGAGTTGATTTTTTTTAAATCATTTTAATCGCATTTTAATTGCTATGCCCTTGGAGAATCAAGTGGAACAACCTTTTCTGCCATGTGATTTTTTGTGACAGAGCCTCATGTGCATCAAACACACGCACATTTGCCGTAACATAAAATGTGCACGTGCTTACGACCTGCACATAAAAGCCAGACACTCTAAACATTGCATTACATGACCGATTCCAACAAGCATTATTACAATATTAGAGCACGTTTTATTTAATGTATTTGTAAGGACGGGAGATTACCTTTAAACGTGTCCGCCTTAATATTTTTATGGATCAGATGTTAATTAATGTCATCAACAAGTACAGTTGAGGGCGTGACACTCAAATCGTCTTAGAATTCACCAATAAAAGATTGTTAACATCAGACGCAGTGTATCCGTCTGGAAACATTGGGGATGATAACTGACAAACTAATACTCTTCCATATTCATTTAATCAAGTGACGCAACGTACGTGTCTGGAAACATCAGGGATGATAATTGACAAACTAGTGCTATTTATTTAATAAAGTGAAAGAAGGTTCCAAATCTAATTCGAATTTTCCACGCATTCTTTAGTTAAAACCCGTTTAGGTCCTGGAACAATATTCTATGCATACGTTTGCATAGAATATTGGTTAAATTTCTTCAAGAATATTAAGTTTCACAAAATTAATTATCCTTAATTTTTTCAGTTACCGGTATTCTTGATCGTCTCCAAACAATCAATGGCTTCACTGCTGCCCGTAAAAAAAACCATAGCTTTATAGTACCGGTATATTCATGGCAAACCGGCACCCATGACTAATGGTTTACCAGTGATGACGGCCTCTCCATATTTGTCGGTCTTTTAGAAAACTAATCAACTTGTTTATTTCTTGCAGCACATGTCCGCTCAATCTTTTGTAATGTTAAATAAATTAAGATGATCACTAACATCGTCTACACCTATCAAACAGAATTTATTTTTTGGTAAACGTCTATAAACCCACTTGCTTTTGATGTCAAGTATGCAGTTTAATCCCAAATATCACTTGTGCGAATTTGACGACGAATAAACAAGAAGTTGTTGGTGTCAATTCGCGTAAGTGGGATGGGGCTTTGGAGTCCGAAGACCACTTTTAGAGGTGGTCTTCATTTAAGTTTCTAATCGGAGAGAAAACTCCGATATCACCATAAATGTTTCAGGCTCCCAAAGTGATATGACGGAAGATAAATAAATTATTTTCAATCTTGGTCAGATTCCTCTTCAGTTACGTTTCATTGGTAACAATAATTATCTATGCATTATCCGGCTGTTTTGGGGGTTTTCCCATGCCGATCATCATTATACAAACCTCGGAATAACTACAGAATTAGAGAGAAAAAAAAAAACCAGAAGGCGCCAGCTCGCGTCACGGGACATTAGCAATTGATCAGACTGTGACTAGCTGGGTGGCGAGTTACGTCTCATTTGGGAACAGGGCATGATATTAAGGACATTATAGTGGCAAGAGTCAAACTTTGTAGTAATCAGTTATATTGAAACATGCAGGACATTAGGTACTAATTTTATCACATTTATTGAAAAATTAAGCTTTCGTGAACACTGTATTTCATTGGGTGAAAGTATTCTGATATAACAAAAGAAAATATCTGAAGGAAAAAAAACACGATAATTTTTCCTAAATTATTACATCGTTTTGTAACTTGAAAAAAGATTAAAAACTAGGAATAATATACTTGTTACCGAATTATGTGACAGTTGTCATAATGAAAATTGAAAATGAACATCATAAGGCAGTTAAATATAAAGCAATCAAACATGGTTAAGATGTAACAAAATAATTATTAAGTTGGTTGTTAAAGTCACCAAAAGTTAAGTTGTAAATGAACCCATTTCATTGTGTGCATATTTATTTACAAATCGTATACATGGGGAAGGGGGGAAACAAAAACAAGAATCAAGAATATTTAGGAATTTATATATTTTAGAAGTCAACAATCTACAAATGAATGAATGAATGAATTAATTAATTAATTAATTTCTAATTACAAATGAATGTGCGTGTGATTTAACCGAGATTCAAATGATATAATATAAAAAAATCTTCTGGCATTCTTGATACCTAATATTACTCTTTACATGCTAATTTTCGAATTGTACAATGGAATTAAGATGTTAAACCATGTAATTTATTATGTCTTAGTATTATTTAAATATAAAGATTGAATTTCATTTTTTTCTTTTAACTTGGAGTATGTTAACCTCAGTGGCGTATCCAGAGGTGACGGAACTAGGGGGTGCTGTGTTATGGAGAGTAATGTGTGACCAGAAATTATCTGCAGTCAGTTGGTTGTTACCATGCGCCAGTGATGTTGGAGTATATAGTACAGCAATATGAAACTATTAAGCCTAATGAATGAATAAAGTTCAGAGTTTGTCGTGTAGTGAAATGATTATTTCACATTTTAAGTGCTCCCTAAATTCATAAGTGTAAGCTAAATTACGGTGATTAATTCAATTAGCGAAGATATGGAGACAAATTTCGAATCCCTCTTTCCAAGAGGGGATGCAAATGCTTTGCGAAAATGAGTACGCCGCGGTACTATTTTCACAAAGAAATACACACAACTGGTTAGCTAACAATTATGTCAATGTTACATGAACACCTGGGAAGGAAGGTGCAATCACGTTGTTACCTAGCAAACGTCTGTACTGTATGGGGGAGGGGCTGCTGATGTACTGTGTAGCGGGGGACGATGAGGCATAAGACTAGGCATAGGCCTAAATAAGACAGTGGAATTATATGTGATAGAGAGTACACTTTCGGAAGAAATAAATTGAAATAAGAAAAAAAAATAACTAAGAATAATTCATTTGCAGAGGTACCTTGTTTAAGTATTATACAATGCTAACGATGCGGCTCTTGTAACCCTGGCTTGGGCAAGGCATCCATGTGCAAAGCAGTGGTGTTTGTTTATCTATGAAAAAAGCACGCCACCGGCAAAGTTTGCCTTACCAGGAAAATGTGACGTGTCTAGCTTATGACGTATGCATGCTAACAAATGTGAGTGTGACGTCACCAAAAAATGAATTTTTTTTCTATTATAACCAAAATATTAATAACTACAAAGTTTATGGGCGTAAATTCCCTTAATACGAATGAAGGGTTGCACAATCTCCTTACCATACAAATTACAGCTCCCACTGACGTCTCAGTCGAGAAATACGGGTAGCTGAAGTTTTTCTCGCAAATCTGACTACAAAACCATATCCAAATTTCACGTTCCACTTTTGACCCTGAGTTGTGCTTCGCACTCGCCGCTGATGGCGGGGTTCCGGGAACCCTGCGTCTAGAAGTCTTGAAATGGGATGGGGCCCTAATGGGGGTGCGAATGTGAACCGGGGAGACTCGATGATTAGGTGAATAGATAACTCACAAAATAAGGTGATTTGAGGTGATTTTTAACTACTTGAGCATGACATTTTTTTTTTTCCCCCAAATTCAAACTCATTTTTATTGCAATCATACAATATATAGATTGGATATTACAATAGTAGTCAAAACGATTAAATACATTCAAATATATGTACATTCAAAATAAGTCAAAAAGGTACATTACATAAAAAAGATATAAAATAAAAATAAAACAAAAACGGAAGATTACTTATTTTTTCTTGGGGAGGGGGGGGAAGGCGAGTATTGGTGGAGGGGTGTATTCGCCCCCACCCCCGGGCACAAAAAAAAAGGAAAATAAACTTACACTCTATTTGTACTTAAATTGATAATAATTGTAAATTTTTATTTTATTTGTTTATGCAATATTCATAATTTATGTGGAAGAGTGGAATATAAACACAAAAAACAAAGAAAAAGAGAAACACTAAAAGTGAGTCACTCCCACAAAAACAAAAAAATACATATTGATATGTACTGATTGATTTAATACTGATAATTTATACATAATGCAAAAAAAGTGGTGATTAACAACAAAATAGGAAACATATTAGTAGAGTGTTTACCAATTGTATCTGAACCCACCGCATGATATTCCTTGTAATTATACCAACAAATGTTATGTATTTACGAAATCAATAATAGTATCTCAATATATAAATTTACATCATATGTTAAATGTGTATAGATTACTACAGTGTTACGTTACGATACCATGTGATACTACTCTGTTGCTATCGCTGCAAAATGCGTTAACCTGATGCCATTTTCTCTACTGAACCACTGATCCCAATTTCTAACGTAATTATTAAGATGTTGTATCTTAGTTTTTCTTTGTAAATTTTAATTGATGTGTGTTCGATAACTAATATAATGTGAGCTTTTGTGTTTTCAGTACATTTTGATGGTAATAGATTTTAAAATGCCTATTCCAGAAAGCCTATGAAGTCATTCAGGTGTAATGAACCGTAACCAACGTCTGGTTGGCGACAGAGGGCTCCACCTGGCATTGTGACGACACGACTGTGGTACTCTATAGCACCTCTGTATATAAAGTTTATTGCAACTCTATTAAAAGGACACAGCATTTCTCTTACAAAGTATATAACATCTTTCTATACAAATTTGCTGCATAATTATAATAGCATTTATCTGTATAACATTTATAGCATCACTCCATATACAATGTCCTTGATAAATTATTATTATAATAATTTATCAAGGGCATCAAGGAGTACTGACCACAGAGACACATCCAACATTTTGAATGCAGAGGACATGTCCAACTGAGGGCGCTGTCACTATTTTAAACACTAGGTTTTGTAGGTTTATTGTTAAGTTGGCAATTATTTTCAAATGAAACATGTTATGTTATGTATTTATGAATATATATTTTTAATAGGCTTATATCTTGTATCCTTTGTATTTTCAAATTCTTATAAGCTGGACTTCGGTAAAATTATTAGTGATTGATTTATATCAGCAAGAGATGGACAACCTGAAAATATGCAGAAAAAAAAGAATGTAATATATATTTCTATAATGTGAAATCATACTTGTATTCAATTACGAGTGTTTGAAAAAAAGGAAAATATTACACAGAACATTAATAAGTTATCACAACCTGCAAAATTTGGTTTTCATTACCAAACATAAATCATTGGATTCAACAGAAATGTTACATCAAGAGCTCCTTCAGGATCAGCTATAACCACAGAAATTATTTAAAAAATAATAACTACTCTTACCAGCCAGCCCCATTGACGTCCGTAGCTCATCTTTAAGAATTGACAGTACAGATTTCACTCCGTTTTCACCCTGAATGACAAATCATGTATAAAGAAATTTATTATATTACCCAACATATGCATCATCTTACTTTTATTCTGCATGTTAATAAGTTGTGCAACAAATTAAGATCATCTATTTCTATCCTTGCCCGCACTCGTAAATAATGTCCTACAAAGCTACTTCTCTTATGCCCTCGTCTTACCACATATTGACTACTGTTGTTCTATCTGGGGCTCACGAGCCAGAAAATTCAAAATAGAGCTTAAAGAGTTATTTTGAAAGTTCACCCACACACCCTTTCCCACCTTATTAATAACATCCTTCCAATCTCATCTGTTTCTCAAAGATGTAATTTTCAACTTGGCTGTCTCGCCTACCTAGCTTCCATCGGTACTGTTCCTGATTACAGTACATCAGACGCATGCTCACCAGGACTCAGCCCGGAGGTCGACCAACTACAACATCCACTTCTAATTGTAATTACTTTATTCCTCGACCTAGTTTAGCAATTTTTTTAAAGCAATGTTTCAGTAATAAAGTGCCTTTGTATTTCAATTCAATTCCAAAATGTAATCGCTTATCTGAAAAATGCTGTTTTTAACTTAAACTTTAAGCAATTTATTAATTTAAATTTGTGTTTTGGGGTTTTTTCCAGATTTTAATGTATTGTTTTTAACTGTAGGCTTTTCAACTTTCATCTGTCTTTTGAATATTTAATATTTTACATTTTATTGTAAGTATGTTTTATCGAGGGCCATTAATGATTATTTCCTGCAGAAACTGGATAGGTCACCCTCTTTAAAAAAGGTAATAAATAAATAAATTAAAAAAACAATCCCCAGCACATTATTTATAATCCAGCATATCTCTATACAGTATATCAACTCATTGAAATTAACGGTGGTACATTAGGTCCACTTGTAAAGTCATTGAATGTGGGGTTCCCCAAGGATCTCTTTACATTTCCTCATTGTCACAAATTATTAAAAAATATATATCTCTTATGAGTTCAATGCAGACGATATTCAACTTTACATTCCATTTGATCCATCAAACTTTTACTTGGCTATTCAACATCTTGAAAATTGTCTCAGAGACATTCAAACTTGGCTCTCAAGCAATCTTCTAAAACTTAATGAAAACAAATCTGAGTTCATTATTATAGTAAAATAGTTCCTCTTTCTCTCACCATTGGTTCATCATTAATTCATCCCTCTCACCACATTTCTAACCTCGGAGTCAAACTGAATGAATCTCTTAAATGCACAACTATATCAGCTATATAACTAAATCGGTCAACTTTCATCTTCGTAATGTTGCACTCATTCGACATTTTCTTTCCTTATGCACAGTTTCTTCCATTATTCATGCTTTTGTCTCATCCCGTCTTGATTGCTGCAACTCTCTTTTTTACGCTCTTCCTAAATCTCAAATTTACAGACTCCAGAGGCTTCAAAATTCTGCTGCACGAATTATAACATTCACAAAATGTCATTCTCACATCACCCCGCTCTCCGAGACCTCCACTGGCTTCCCATTGATTCCCGCATCAAGTTCAAAATCTTGCTACAGTACTTACTTTCAAAGCACTTCTGTTTAAGCAACCTATCTATATTCATAAGCTTACCCATATGTATGTTCCTTTACGCACTCTAATATCATCTGACAATATTTTGCTCCCTGCTCCCCACACAGCCTTATTGGCCATAAATTGTTTTTCTTTTGCTGCACCTACATTCTGGAATTCACTCCCTACGCACCTTTTCCAGCATTAACATGCACACAACGCCTTTGATAATGCACCTCGGTCATTTAATTGACGATTTATACATTCTAAAATTATTATTATTATTATTATTATTATTATCATTATATGTCTATAGCATCTCACTCCATGTGCCTATAGTATCTTTATTATGACATAATAAAGCATCTCTCTAAAAAGTTTACATCATCACTTCACATAATGTTAATTGCATCTGTCTCTATATAAAATTTATTAAAAGTTTACAACATCTGTCTTACAAATAAAATCTTTCTATACAAATTTACAGCATATATAATAGCATCTCTCTGAAAAAAAAAATGTATAGTATCCCCCTATATTGTTCATACACAATATACTTGATATTTAAGACCTATATTGAAACAATCAGTCTAGAAATTTGAGAATTTTGTTTTAAACACTAATAGTGTAACCTACTGACCACAAGGACACATACATCCAACATTTCAAATACAGAGGACTGTCACTTAAGGGTGCTGTCACTATTTTGAATACTAGGTTTTGCAGCTTTTATGTTTATAATAATTGCATCACGGACCTATTATTAATAGGTCCATGATAGCATCATATCAACCACCATGGCGGTATTATTGAGAAGATCACTTGAAAGAGCTCTGCGCATGCAGTGCTATGCAAATAAGCCAAAAATAAAGCTGCTGCAGCGCATAAAGAACATTTGCGTGATGCCTTTCAAGTCTAATGTGTTCCCCGCCACCAAATCCCCAGCAAGCTCAGTTTACCAAACATAGCGACATGGACAGCACCTTATATTCTCAATGCTCACTACTTACAGTCAATCGCTATGGCTGCGCAATCGTTTCCACCTTGAAGCTAATACATTTATCATTTAAGAAATACCAAACATATTAATATTTTCTACAAAAAAGATTTTCAAATTTTAATGAAACATTTACATGAGCTTTAAAAGTATGGTATATTTCAACTAGAAGTTCCATAAATTAGATAAAACAAAATAATTCTAATTTTAAGATATTAATTAAGGAATGATTGAGGATTATAATAAACAAAGTGATTTTAGGGTTAATGAGGGTGAATTATTCAAAAATTCAATCCAAAATCAGAGTAATTTCCAGTTTTACGCTGCCTCAGTTTCATAGTCAGATCAGTCAATCTTTAGACAACATTACGATAAACACAGAACTAATTGTAACAGAAATATTTTGCAGAATCTGTTCCTGAAATATACACATAATAACATACTAAAAGACTAAAAATCCAATCATGGGAACATTGTTAATTTTAAAGGTATTGAATGAGTTCAAACGGTTTATCACTCAACTGCTGTGTTAAAGCGTATAAAAGCCTGTTGGTGCCAAGTTGTTGCTAACAAAAAATTGTTAATAATACGATAGACGCAAATGTGCCATCCAAAGGCGGGGAACACTTGAACCCTTGGTTTTTAGTGTCAAAGTGATCTGTTGCCGAGTGATATCCTTCTCAATAATACCTCCATCATACTACTAGATAAGAAATAAACAAAGAATGTGCAATCTTACATCATGAGCAAGACCCCAAATTGCTGGTCGACCAATCAGGACTGCTTTTGCTCCCAAGCTGAGTGCTTTGAGAACATCAGTCCCCATACGTATGCCGCCATCCACCAGAATATCAATACCAGTGTGCTTGACAGCTTCTATGACCTCAGACAGCGCATCAATCTGTAATAACCAAAGTAAAAAAATTAAAAAAACGAAATCTACAATATGAAGCAATTATAGTCAGGTTTTGAGTACACTTTAGGTAATAGAAGCCGAAGGAGCTATGATTTACCGAAAAAAATTGCCGGAAGCCTGCATGGACTGAAGGCAGTTTTTTAAGGAAATAATACCCTATAGGGTACAAAATTACTTGACTGTATTTCAATTAATTTGTTTACTACCAACTGAAAAGTAGGAGAAATATATATTTTTCCTGCCAAATAACTGACATTAAAAAATGACCACACCAATAAATATTTCATATACTGTATCAAAAAATTTGTGGCAGCAAATTTAAGAATTTTCACAGTAAAAGACCTGTAAATATTAATTTCCTGTGGTATAAAAAAAAACACCTTAATTTTTTAATATTCTCCAGTAAGCACTTTGCGTACATATAATTATTATTAATGACTTATGATCGCATTACTTTTCTTGTAAATAATTAAAAAATTTGTTTTATTAATATTATATAGTTTATTTATCAAAGTAACTGAAAGAGACCAACCGAAGCCTGCACTCCATCCAGAGCTCTGCCTCCGTGGTTTGACACGACAATGCCATCAACACCGTGCTGAACCGCTTCAACAGCATCTTCACCTGTAAATGTAATCACATTGCTCACCTGTAAATGTAATCACATTGCAAAATAATGGTATTCACTGATTTGTCGGGAAAATTTTGTTAAAGTACCAGAGGATATACAGGCAGTTTTTTTCTTATATACTGTACTTAATATTAAATCCTACATTTTAGTGGGCAATGATGACAGTGGGGCAGGTAAATTCCCCCTCCCCCCGTGTTGGACAGACTTGGACTCCCATTGTCCAACTCCACAACGAGGTTGTCGAAACAAGAAATATTTGCCTATCTAAATAATGTTATTTTGATTGCTAATCCCTATTATGCTCTAAAACCACAATTATGACCATACAAAGCGACAAAAACTCTCTCCGTGGAACCTACCAGGACCCTGACCAAGGCTCCAGTCATACATATCAGACCCTTGTCGGCAAATTTCTGGTGCCACTGCTGATGATGATGTAAAGTTATATTTGTGTAATTCAGTTTATTTTTACTTCATTTGTTCACCCACCCCAATAAGAAATAAAAAGAAACAACTGGGAAGCTTATACCATGTGTCTACTGTCCCTCATTATATACAGACCATTTTCGCGAAATTTGAAATGAAATTTCTGATAACCTGGCAACTACCACTGGTAGACTTTCAGAGGCCTAGCATATCACTCTACATAGTTACCATCATGGACTAAATCATTGATAAAACTACATTACTAACGAGCACAAATATTTTAAAATGGCAAAAACACGAAAACAAGTCTAAGTCTTAAAAAGATATTTCAATGTTTACATATACAGTATCAGGAATCAGATACAGTAATTACAGTAGTTAGCAAGATCGTACCTGTTGTCTACTGCTGCTATAGCCAAGGTCTAGCCGCGCTATCCGCTGCCCGGTGCTCTACTTGTACTTAGCCAGCTTCTCAGACTAGGCCGCTGGAAGTGCCCCAGTGAGTTGCGAAACGTTGGCGGCGCTGTTGCAAAATAAATCCAACAAAATGGTCTATAGCGCTTCAACTACATCATAGTACTGTACAGTACTTACAATGTTGCTACTGGTTTCCCTTTTATGATCCACTATACCGAATAAAAAAAATCATTACCTTTATCAATTCAATATCTTAACAATTACTTGCATAAAAAACTTACGTGTCATAACACCTTTTACTGCTACTGGTAGAGAAGTAATACTTTTCAACCAATCAATATCTTCCCAGGATAATGACGAGTTGATGAAAGATACATTTTCGTAGTTGTAGGACCTATGAACATAGAGATTTATTGAGAGTTAAATTACTGTGTATCCAACACAATACATATAATAATAAAATACATTATTTAGTACATTTACATTAGACATCTAGTAAACTATATAGAAAACGTAAATTTAAGTGAAATATTAAATAAGTCACACACACACACACATATAC